CTGGATCTGCAGCCAAGGGGAGCTAGAGCCTGGGGCCAGCACTTGTGCTATCCCCAGCAGTATAAAAAGCTGCCGTGTCCTGGCCCCATCAGTAGAAAAAGCTGCCCTGGCAAGTAGCTCAGGGCTACTCGCTCTCAGGAGCTTCTGGTGCCCAGCCAACTGATACCTGGGGACACTACCCCTTGTGCCAGCTGGACTGCTGAAGCAGTCCTGAGAGTTCCCTGCACTCTCTACCCACTGCAGTAGTCTGGCAGTGAGGGCTGCTGCCTGGCTGTGACCTGCTGTGTACCTGCCAGACCCGGATGGGGACTGCACAGTCAGTAGAGGCATCTGACTCTCTGGGCCAGCTGCAAGTGGGCTATGGCTGCAGGATTGGCCTTTGTGTGACACTACTGCCACATATGCCCCCTGCCTGGCCACAGAAGATGTTCCACATGTGGTGGCCTACTTTGCACTGTCGGCCTCAACCAGCCAGGAGGTCAGTCACCTCCAGCTGGGTCCAAGGTGCCAGCTCTGAGCAAGCAGGGTCCTGCCACTGGCCTCCCTAGCAGGAATTCTGGTGTTCCCTATTGGAAAATTGAAAAATCCCTGATAAAAAAAAATCCTAAAGTCACTCTGTAAAATACCCCAAAATCCATGTTCCTCCACAATTAAAACAAAAGACCAATATATATAGAGAGAGACAGTGTGAGACAGAGACAGTGATTGGTTGGGCAATGTTTTACTGATATGTCTACAGTGTTAAAGCAGTCTGGAAGCCTATCAGTGTCTCTATCATCATAATAAAGTGATTTCTAAATACTGATATGTTTTGATTCATAGATGCTAGGGTCAGAAGGAACCTCAACAGATCATCGAGTCTGACCCCCTACCTAGGCAGGAAAGAGTGCTGTGGTCAAATGACCCCAGCCAGATGCCTATCCAACCTTCTCTTAAAAAACCCCAAGGTAGGGGAGAGCACCACCTCCCTTGGAAGCCCATTCCAAATTTTGGCTACCCTTACCATGAAGAAGTTTTTCCTGATATCTAGCCTAAATCTACTCTCTGTCAGTTTGTGACCATTGTTCCTTGTTACCTCAAGAGGCACCCTGGTGAACAGAGAATTTCCGATCCCTTGCCTTATCCCTGTAATGAATTTGTAGGCAGCCACAATATCACCTCTTCAGCCTTCTCTGCAGAGGCTGAAGAGGTCCAGGTCCCTCAGTCTCTTGTCATAGGGCTTGCCCTGTAAGCCCCTAACCATACGAGTGGCCCTCCTCTGGACCTTCTCGAGTCTATCAACATCCTTCTTGAAGTACGCTGCCCAGAACTGGACGCAGAACTCCAACTGCAGTCTGACCAATGCTGCATAGAGGGGAAGTATCAGCTCCTTGGATCTATTTGTCATGCATCTGCTGGTGCACAATAAAGTGTTGTTAGCTTTGCTGATGATTTTATAACACTGACGACTCATGTTCATCTTGGAGTCCACTATGACTCCAAGGTCCCTTTCCACTTCTGTGCTGCTGAAAGGGTCATTTTCTAGCTCTAAGGTGTGCTGGATATTTTTGCACCCTAGGTGCAGCACTCTGCACTTGTCCTTGTACTACATCCTATTGTGTACTGCCACCTTTTCTAACCTGTCCAGGTCTGCCTGCAATTGTTCCCTACCCTCCGTAGTGTGCACTTCACCCCACAATTTAGTATTGTCCTCAAACTTGGACAGAGTACACTTCACGCCCACAGGGGTCACAGCCACGCAACAGGGCCCTACATGCCCCATCCCTACTTGCTGCCCCAGCCCCCGCCGGCTACTGCAGCCCCCCCCACGGCAGCTCCACCCAACCGCCCCTGCTTCCCCAGATTCCCCAATGGCTGCCTCACCTGGCCCCATCCCCTGCTTGCACCCACCACTCCCTGATGGCTACTCCCCCAGCCTCTGGCACTTAAAAAAGAAAAACAAAAAGCCTCTACTCACCGCAGTAGCAGGGGCTGTGGGGGCTCTGGCGCCTCCTGGCAGAGCCCCCCCACACAGTGGGAGGGCAGCAGGGCCCAGGCTGGGGCCACTGCGGCTGTCACCCAGCCCTGCGCTGTGCAGGGCGGGCCCCAGTGACCGCAATGGCAGCTGCTAGTGCCAGTGAGTGCAGGGGGTGGGGTTTTTTTGCTTCCTGGGATGCTGGAGGCTTGGGGGGCTAGAGAGGATGAGGCCAGGTGGTTCCAGGGCTCGGGGGTGGGCGGGGACTGGGGTCAGGCAGGGCAGCCATGGTGGGGCTTGGAGGGC